GGTCCCTGTGCTTTACTAAGCTTGTTCTAAGTAGGTGCTTTAGACCACTGAGCCATCTCACCAGCCCACCCCCCATTTTTTTCTTAATGGGTTAGATTTTATCATCAGACCTGGGCCACTTTCAGTTCCTTTCACTTTCCTCTGTTAAGCAATACCCTTGATCTTTGATCTCAAGCTAAATTCTTTCCATTTTCTATGAATATGATCAATATGTGTACCTAAAATGTACCAATAAGCTTAATGAAAAATTAATGAAGGCTGGGGAGATGGTTCAGTGGAATAAGCGCTTCCCTGGCAAGCGCAAGGGCCTGAGTTCAATCGCTGGTTCCGCAAAAAAAAAAAAAAAAAAAAAAAAATTAATGAAACCTTGGATGGGTACAGTGGTGCATGCCTGTAATTGCAGCACTTGGGAGGCTGGGACAGGAGGATCCCAGTTTGAGACCAGTGAAGTGAGTTCAAGGCCAGCCTGAACTGCGAAGTGAAACCCTGTCTCAAAAACAAAACACACAGGGGCCAGGGAGATGGCTCAGTAGAATAAGCACTTCCCTGGCAAGCACAAGGGCCTGTGTTCAATCCCCAGTTCCCCCCTAAAAAGCAAAACAAAACACACAAACAATAACACCAAATAAAAGCTCTTTGCCTGAAAGTTCCCACCTCAATTTTAATTTCCATTACCACTGAAGCAAGGACCCTAGCTAGCTAGCTAGCCAGAGACAATTGGGGGTTGATAAATTTGTCTCCCCTGTTTCCCTGGACCAGCACCAGTATCCTGCCTACGGCATCCCCTTGCACAATCAAAACAACCAGCAACAGCCCAGGTCCTTAACCCCCTGCCATTTGCTGAGCACTTTACTCGTACTGTGCCCTGCATGCACGTGTTCAGCCCACTACTTCCAAAACGGTTGAAGTGGACCTCAGTGTGCAGTAGGATGCTGTGAGTCCCCGGCCAGCAGTGCCAGCAGCCCACCACTCTTTTCCAGGTGCCCAGGGGAGACAAGTTTTAAAAGGCAAGGGCCGTTATCCCAGTCCTCTGGAAGTCTGAGGCGGGAGCATTGCAAGTTCGAGCTAAGCCTGAGCTCAATCAATTCAATGAGACCCTGCCTTAAAATAAAAAGGGGCTGGGGGCGTAGCTCAGTGGTGAACTGCCCCTGGCTTCAATGCCAGGATCTAAGAAAAAGGAAAAGGCTAGGGCCAGCGGTCAGCCTGGGCGTCCGAGTGGCCTGAGGGAGGGAATCAGGTCACTAGGTCACCGGCGTGGGCCGACACGTGGGTCCCGGCCGGTGGGGGCAGGATGCTGCATCCGCATCCCTGGTGCAGGTTCCCTAGGGGCCCCTTCATATCCGCAGTCCATCCGTCCAGGGTCGAGGGTCGCAGGAGTGGTAGGCCCTGGGGTGCACTCATCCCGCCGAGGAAGCGCGGAGCAGAGGGAGCTGCCAGCTACAAGATCCGGTCCTCCTCCGGCGCACCCCACCCGCGAACAGGTGGCAGCCCCTACACAGGGCTCCCCCGCTCCGAGGCTTTCCTCCCGGCTACCCCAGACGTCGCAGGCACTCACCGTGCTATCACGGTGACAGAGTGCCCGCTCCCCTCAGCTGCGCCGCCGCAAAGCAGGTGCGAGGGTCAGGGCTGGGCGCACGACTGCGTCAGCTCAAACCCGTTGCCAGGGCGTGAGAGGGCGTAACTACCCGTGCCGGAGACCGGAAGTCCCGCCTCCAACATGGCCGCGCCCTGCGGTTTTCGCCGGAAGCCGTCCCTTTATGGTCATGTGACGCCAGCCCTCGCCCCACCCGTCTGCAGCCACTCCCTGTCTCCGACCCCTAGCTGGAGAGGTGCACGTGACCCTCCCGGGGCCAGTCACGTGAGGCGCGGATCCTGGTGGGGAGGGGGTAGGCAGAGGGGTCCGGAGTGGCAGTAAAGGAGGAAGATGGCGGGGTGCAGGGGGTCTCTGTGCTGCTGCTGCCGGTGGTGTTGCTGCTGCGGCGAGCGTGAGACCCGCACCCCTGAAGAGCTGGTGAGGAGCGGGCGGGGCCGGGCTGAGGAGGGGGCGGTTGCTGAGGGATGGAGAGAGGCGTAGCCGGGAGTGGGGCGGCCCGCAGGTGGCAGCGGGTGGGGCCTGGGGACCGCAGCCTGGCGCTAGAGCGTCTGTCCTGATTCACGTGCCCGCATCGGAGGGATTTTCTCGGACCACCAGCGCCCGCCCCACCCTGCGGGCGAATTCAGGCCAGTTCCAGTTGATCCCTTCCGTGTCCTCTCTTATTTCCATCAGAAAGGAGTTTTGCATGAAACGAGCGTTTTCAGAACGAGCCCCCCATCACAGGGCTTGTGCTCATCGTGCAGCTGGCGTAGTTTCTCCAGCCCCTTCTCACTCCATCCTCAGGCACCCTTTCTGGGTCACTGACAATCCGGTTTCCCCTTGCAAAGCAACCTGGGAAAACTTGAGTTACTGTGTCCCCGGAGTTGACAGGTCTCCTCTTATTTCAGATTGGCACACTGCCAGATGGAGCCTGAATTTTCTCCCCGTTAGGATGGCATTGGATGTCAGAGGCGTTCTGAGATGAGTAGTGGTTATTTGGAGAATGTATAAGTAGAAATGAAGAACTCAGCTGGATTAGCCCCTGCCCCGCCCCCAAGCCCCAAAGGGCTTTTGTTGTCTTCTTCTCTTTGATAAAGCTGGTTTAGAAGCTAGCTCTTGATTTTATACTTTTCCCACTATTTGTGTGTATGTTTGTGACACTGCGAATTGAAACATTCCCTTCACATTGAGCTACATCCTCAGCCCTTTACAATTTTTTTTCATAGTGGAAATCAAACTCACTGTTGTGCTTGCCAGACTTATGCTGTGGCGCTGAGCTATATCCCTGACCCAAACTTTTTATTTTGAGATGGGTTCTCCCTAAGTGGCTGAGTTGCCCTGACTGGACTTGAACTTTGTGTTCTCTGTGCCTCAAGAGTGCTGGGATTACAGGCACGTGCCAACAGGCCTGATTCTCTTGCTCTTAATTACTAAAAATTAGTAATTAATTTTTCTTCTGTGATCTGTTTTCTAGACTATCCTTGGGGAAACGCAGGAAGAGGAGGATGAGATCCTTCCAAGAAAAGATTATGAGGTGAGCTCCCTAGATATTGTCTTGGGTAAATTCAGGCAGAAACATTGATTCCAACCCATGCTCTTTTGACTTTCCATCCCAAATACTGTGTAAGAGATGATAGCCTCTTCTTATTTTAACCACCGAACTCAATCTGGTGTCTGTGCGTTTAGAGATTTATAGACATTTCACCTGGGGAGAATATGTGTTTGCCTTTAAACGGTTTGCTTTTACAAATTATAGGGTCAACGCTCTGGGCAATACATTGAATAGGCAAGTGCTCATAACTCATTAAGCAATCCTTGCTTCTCTCCTGAGACCGCAGATTTCAGGTGATTCTTTCCCATTTGAGCAGCTTCTCTGTGAAATGCCGTTCACTGTAGTTTGCAGTTTCAAGTATGGAACTCTTAAGCATCGTCTTACATACTCTTTGTGTGTTTTTAGTTGGGCTAATACTGCTGCTGTATGAAACTGACTTTATACTTAATCAGCTCGTGGTGACTTTTTTTTTTTTTAAATTTATTTATTTATTTATTTGTGTGTGTGTGTGTGTGTGTGTGTGTGTGCGTGTGCGTGCGTGGCCAGCTCAGCCCACCAGGGGGCGGGGCTGGCTGGCATGTGGTGCTGGGGGATTGAACCGCGGTCCCTGTGCTTTGCTAAGCTTGTTCCAAGTAGGTGCTTTAGACCACTGAGCCATCTCACCAGCCCAAGAACTTCTCAACTAGGGGAGTAAAATTTTATTGTGCCACAGCCTTTTTTTTTTTTTTAAATACTTATTTTTCTTTGACTGAACCAGGGATTGAACTCAGGCCCTTGTGCTTGCCAGGGAAGCTCTTATTCCGCTGAGCCATCTCCCCTGCCCTATATTTATTTTTTTATTGAGAAATAAATATGAATGAGACAGTTTCACAGCTGATTAATAGGACAGTTTTGATAGTCAATACACTGTACATTGTTATCTTCTTAGCCTATTTAATCCATTTTTGTTTTCCAACATTGCTATAATTGAACTACGTAGTGATGAATATCAGTCCTTTCTTGTGCATTTTTTTTTTTTTTTTTTTTTTTTTTTTTTTTTTTTTTTTTTTTTTTTGGGGGTGGGTGTGGCCAGCTCAGCCCACCAGGGGGCGGGGCTGGCTGGCATGTGGTGCTGGGGGATTGAACCGAGGTCCCTGTGCTTTGCTAAGCTTGTTCCAAGTAGGTGCTTTAGACCACTGAGCCATCTCTCCAGCCCCTCTTATTTTTTTTTTTTTTAATTTAGGGAAGGGTTTGCAGGGTGTTCAGGGCCTCACTACTAGATCCTACTTGTAGTGATCCTCCTGTTTACAGCCTCCCAAGAACTGGGATTATGAGCATGTGCCACCACTCCCAGTCTCAGTTGCCATCTCAACACGCTGGGGATTGAACCCCTGTCCTCTGTGCCTGCTTGCACGTGCTTTAATCCGCTGAGCTATTTGGCCGGCCCTCTTGTGCGTGCTTGCTTGCTTGCTTGCTTGCTTTCTTTCTTTCTTTCTTTCTTTTTTTGCGGAAGCAGGGATTGAACTCAGGCCCTTGCACTTGCCAGGGAAGCGCTTATTCCACTGAGCCACCTCCCGGGCCCCTCTTGTGCATTCTTTTTTTTTTTTTTTAATTTTTTTTTTTTTACATTTATTTATTTTGTGTGTGTGTGTGGCCAGCTCAGCCCACCAGGGGGCGGGGCTGGCTGGCATGTGGTGCTGGGGGATTGAACCGAGGTCCCTGTGCTTTGCTAAGCTTGTTCCAAGTAGGTGCTTTAGACCACTGAGCCATCTCGCCAGCCTCTCCTCTTATGCATTCTTAACTGCTTCCTTAGGATTAATTTTGTGAAGTGGAATTAACCATATGTATAATACTTTTTTTCAATGTAATATAATTTTTAAAAAATAGCATATAGATTTTATTTTTTTTTATTTTTTTCGGAACCAGGGATTGAACTCACGCCCTTGCGCTTGCCAGGGAAGCCCTTATTCCTCTGAACCATCTCCCTGGCCCCAAAAAATAGCATATAGTTTTTGTTTTTTTTTTAAATATGGACCGCTTCACGAATTTGCTTGTCATCCTTGCGCAGGGGCCATGCTAATCTTCTCTGTAGCGTTCCAATTTTAGTATATGTGCTGCCGAAGCGAGCACAGCATATAGATTTTAAAGTTCTATTATGAAAGGACAGTAACACCTGTGACTGATTTTCTTTTAAATATTTCATCTTTTTTTTTTTTTTTTGGCCAGCTCAGCCCTTCTTGAGGGCACGGATGGCGTGGCATCTGGTGCTGGGGATTGAACTGCGGTCCCTAGCACCTGCCTAAGCTTGCCTAAGCAGGCGCTTTAGACCACTGAGCTATCTTGCTGGCCTCCTATTTCATCTTAATTTTGCTGTAGAATTTTAGGATTTGTAGTATGTAGTATGTAGTAGGATTTATAGTATGGCATAAAATTTAAAAAAAAAAAAGAACCTTTATGCAGCATCTCAAGCATGTAAATAATGGGCAGAATAGTATGTTGAGCCTGGCTCTATACACAGCTTCAGTGTCTGTTGAGCTCATCCTCAACCTTGTTTTATGTATTTATTATGTCATCCACCACTTCCCTTCTCATGTTATTTGGAAGGAAGTTGTATACGACATATCATTTCCCCCATAAATAATTCAAGTTCATCTCCAGAAGATAAGAACTTTTTTTAGCATAACCATACCATTATTATACCTAAGAATTGTTCCTTGGTACAGGACCTTGTGCTTGCCAGGCAGGCGCTTATCCCCAGCACTGCCACCCCCTCAGTTTTCTTATAAAAGTCAAGTTTTTGCAGTTTTTATTGGTTCCAAATAAGGTCCTCAGATTGCATCTGTTTGTTGCATCTTTTACTAATCTCTTTGAACTTCTAATTCCCCCTTCATTTTTTTTTTTTTTTTTTGTCTTCTAATTTGTCAGTGTAATTAGGACTCTGGAATGAATGGTCCTACTGTCTGGATTTTGCTATTTGCACCACCGTGGTACAGTTTAATATATAACTCGGATGGGAATTGCTTTTAATGAGCTAAAAAGCATTATAACCACGGGTGTATTTTTAAAAAATATGCCTTAAGTCAAGTGTGGTGTCACACCCCTGTAATTGCGGCACTCAGGAGGCTAAGGCAGGAGGATCACCATGAGTATAAGGTCACCCTGAGTCACACAGTGAGACCCTGTCTCAAAAAACAAAACACTTAAGTATTTGATTCACTGTAGATAGTTGAGAGGTGAGCAAGAAATCAGTACAAGGCGCTCCCTGCCCCATCAGCCCGCTGTCCTGCCACTGGATAAGGGGATCACCCAGCCTTCTCTGTTGACCCAGGCTCCTTTGCTCCCTCCTTCTCCTCATTGCTTTGATATTTGCAGTGCACTTGCCTCCACTGGGCAGGCATAGTCACGTCAATTCTATGGGTAAGCGTTCTTTCCTGTGAGTCATTAATGTTTCCCAGTTAACCATCTCCTCCTATGAGCTTTTTGAGAGGAAGATTTGCTTTGTATAAGAGCAAATTCAGTTGGTGCTTAACCAAGCAAGGCTGCACAGGTGTTACTCAAAGGTCCACTAGAGGGGCCGGGGAGATGGCTCAGTAGAATAAGTGCTTCCCTGGCAAGCACAAGGGCCTGAGTTCAATGCCCTGGTTCCGCCATAAAAAAAAAAAGGATCCACTAGAAAACCCTTCTGTTGAAAGTTGTTCTAAAGTGTGCTTCTCCTTCCTGCTTCAGGGGTTCACTGTGCATGCTAGACCCTTTCTCGCTAAATTGGGGGCTATAAGAAATTAGAATCCCCATTTTGACATCCTTTCACGTTATGGGTAGTTTGAATAAAAACTGCCTGGCGGTTAGATAATGCTGTGAGAAACAGTAATGTTTTCATGCCAGTCACAACTGGTGTCACTCTTGATAAGTTGGAGAAAGGGTCCACTGGGAGCAGGACTGAAGGCCATAGCCACCCCCTGGCCCACAGCCCGCTGAAGGGTCTTTCTGCATGAGTGCTTGGCCCACCTTCCTGGTGGAGTCTTCTGTCAGCTTCCGCTTGCCCCATGGCCAGGTATGGTTTAGCTCACGACCACAAGCTGCAGCCCTGTGGAACACATATACAAATTTTATTTTTTATTTTTTTTATTTTATTTTTTATTTTTTTTATAATTTTATTTATTTATTTATGTGTGTGTGTGTGTGTCCAGCTCAGCCCACCAGGGGGCGGGGCTGGCTGGCATGTGGTGCTGGGGGATTGAACCGTGGTCCCTGTGCTTTGCTAAGCTTGTTCTAAGTAGGTGCTTTAGACCACTGAGCCATCTCACCAGTCCAAATTTTATTTTTTAAAAAGCTTATTAGGCCAAATAGGAAAGTGATCTATGATGTAGAGTGTGCCTAAGGAGAGTCACATGGAGAGAAAACATTCAGGCTTTCACAGAAAGCACGTTGGCCAAGCAATGGCCATGACTCATCCACATGGCTGCACTGACAAAGGTTCTACAATCTGAGGTACAGGATCTCAAGATAAATCCTGAGGGCATTTCACTGACCTTATCAGACCCAAAAGCTACAACTCTTGTTTCATAGGTCTTGCTTTATCTTGGTCTTAACTCTCCAGCAGAAAAGTATAAAAACGAAGTAGAAGAAGTAAAGCCATGGTGTTACGTTGAGCTGTAGGAGACTCAGGTCAACAATTTCTGACATTGCCAGTGAAGCAGAAGACCCAATACTATTATGGACTACTGAACTCTTTTAGAATATTTTGCTGAGTTACCACACCTATGATATTTAAATGATGGAACTTAACACAAAAAGGGGATACAGATGAATGTCCATTTTGTATCTGTGTATTCAAAGTGGTTAGGATAGATATATAGTTACATTCTCTTAATGAATAGAGAGATTTGTTCTAATGGTGTTTGTAAATAGGGTATCAAGTCCACATCTTTTACAGCAATTAACCACTAAGAAGAATGTATGCAGTGTGTTAATTATTGAAACTGTCCTACCAATTTGGTTTGAAA